CGGATATCCGGCACATCACTATACAGAACACGGAGGCCGGATGGCCGAGCGGTCAAGGTGGCAGCCTACCGCTTCGACTGAAATAATTAAATCCTAAATATGCGGCCGGATGGCCGAGCGGTCAAGGTGGCAGCCTACCGCTCTGGGGGACCCAGGATCGGTCCGGATGGGTCGAGGAATCCCCAGAAACTTTTCGAGGGGTGGTCCGTTTGGATATGTCGCGCCCAGTCCCTCACCACCCGGCCGCCCCATTGTGGGCCTGGCCGAACTCATAATTAACGCCCCGTGGGCATTAAGAGGGCCTCTTAATGCCCACGGTGCGGAAAGAGTATTAAAAGAAAAAAAGAAGTACAAAACATGGAATCTATGCCGTGGAACTAAGGAATAAAAATGGCGATTTCTTAAGAAACATTGGTGTCCTGACGTTGTGTTTATAGAGCTTAGATAATAAAGATTGCCGTGGCGAAAAGTAGTGCTCTTAGAGTTTTGTTTCTATCGGCAAACCTGGTACGACGTTATTTAGTCTCGGCACCACACAGTTGCGTAGTATTGCCAAAAGAGATATTCTACACGAAATATTTTGAGTTTCTACAAAAACACTTCACAGCAGGAAATGTCAAGATATATTCTAAAAAACAGTTGTCAGAGACATCTGTTGTTTTTATGAGAAAGTTATCTACGGGACGGCCAGCTACATTGAAAGGTTATTCCGAATCGTAGTAACTTCAATGCCATTTGAAGATGTCGGTATAGATGGTTGTTCGTCAGTAGCGTGCCGTCCATGGAAGGTGGGGAAGCGCGGCTTCCCTCGTATTTTCTAAAATATAAATGCATATTGCGCGATTATTTTCATATTGTAACGCGCTTTGAATTACTTAAAATTAATATTTTATTATAACCTTATTATGTATTGTTAAAATTAATCATATTCGTCATTGTAAACCGAATTAGGCTTGAGTTAGGCGCTGTCTGTTCATTTTTTGTACGTCCGACCGTCGAAAGACCCCTCGGGATCGAGTCTGTTTATAATTTGAAAGATAACCTTGTCGGTTGTATATACGAAAGGTAAATTGTTTACAAACCGAGTCTTTGTTTATCTGACAAATGTATACTTTATTTCGTCAATTGTTCACGATAGCGGGTGCCTTTTGTGTCAGATTCAAGTCGAATGTACTGTATGTAAACTAATAAATGTTTTCGTTAATCTTATCTCGCCTTTTGATTCGTTCACGGTTACTAGAAATCACCACACATATCTTGTTAGAAATTTCTATACACGTGAAAAACAACGATAAGATTTCTGTTGTATATTCCAATATAAATCCGTACTGTACACTCATATTCCCAACGGAAGCGCCGTATTGTCGAATAGATGACAGCTTCCACGGCCAAAATATCTGTAAAGAAGATTATAGGCATTGGCGCATGGACTTTACAGAGCACCAATCCGACGTAATTTAGCTGGTGGCTGTTACGCACCAACGATTCCATCCATTAGCCACTGGAAGGGAGCTATTTGACTAAGTGCATTGTTTTACCATTTAAAAAGTAAAGAATATTCAGTGTAATATTTACGTACGTTTCTTTACAGAGCTATATTTAATTATAATTTTCTTTTAATTATACTGTATTTATATTGACAGACTTTCGGGCATAAAATCTGCAGTATTTTTATCACTTTTTCGTGGTAATGATTTTAAATATTACGAAAAACAATTTTCCCAACCGAGTCTTAATTCTTTAAGTAAATTTTATGCAGAATTTTTTGATTTATCCCAAATTACGTAGTGAATCGCAATATTCGTATTCGTGTCCGGACTCTACTGACCAGTCACTCTTAGACATAAAAAATGTAATTAATGACGACGTGAACAATGATGTGTAGTAGTGCCGCAGCGTAGCCACACTTCTTCCCGCTGTGGTTAGTCTTTCTGTTTAATAAGCTACATAAAGATGTTATACAACTCGTCAGAAAAGTAAAACCGATCTGATCTGAGAAGCGTGTTTTGATTTAATTTAAACGGGGCTAATTAAAAAAACACTTTAACTTCGGATACTGCGAACATCTTTGAATAAACGGGGGCTCTCGAACCTTCTAGACCAGAGGTCTTCAACCTGGGTTCCGCGGAACCTAGGGTTCCCTGGAACGTTGACGGGGTTCCGCGAGTGATCACTATTTGCTCGGCCAAAACACACTAAAAATGGAAATCATTTATACAAGGAATTTTTCAGGTAGGAACGGGGTAATGGACTGTCTTATTAAAATATTAGATTAATATAATATTTAGATAAAAATTACAATATTAATATAAATTGGATATAAAGTGGCAGATGATTTTTAAAAATAAATATAAATAAATACTTTATGGATAAAATAAAATCTTGAAATTCGGTAAAAGTCACGCGCTTCAAATACACCGATCGAGACGCGCGACGTCGCATATTAGTTCTGTTAATCTCATCCAGTCTGTTAAATACAATCACGTACAAGCGTACAAGCGAGTATTTATTTTGTTTTTATATCATAATTGATAACTCTTATTATTTATTTACAATTTAATTAGACTACCGTAGCAATAATGGATATGTGGTTGAAAACTGGTAAGCTCCATTGCACGGATTGCGGAACTAGTTTCGCTACTACTGTTGATAACGAACCAGATGTTATTACCAAAAAGTTGTCTGGTAATTCGGAGTTACCCGTTTGTAAAAAGCGGAAGTATAATGAAGAATACATAAAATTTGGTTTTACACGGATGGGTGATAAAAATGAACCAAAAAGGTTACGCGTCGAGTGCGAACGTGTGACGCGCAATAGCGGTTTAAATCCCGCAAAATCGAAAAGACATTCGGAAACAAATCAACCAACTTTACAAAATAAAAATGTTGAGTATTTTAAAAGAAAATGGAATGAGTCGAAGAATAGAAAAAAAGACAAAAAAGTCCTTTATGAACTTTGTTAAAAACGATCGTGATAATGCTTTGGAAGTATCGTATCGTGTCAGTTATGGTAATGCTCAACAGGGCGAAGCTTATACGATGGCTGAAAAATTAATTGAGCCACGCGTAAAAGATGTAGTTACTACCACGATTGGGGAAGAACGCGCTAAATTAGTCGATCGTATCCCCCTTTCGGATACTACAGTTTAAAGGCGTGTTAAAGATACGTCTATTTTTGTGAAAATGAGCTCGTAAGACATTCGCCAGCTTCCGAACACGGATTTACTATTCAACTCGACGAAACTACAGATATAGCTGGATTAGCCATCTCGCTCGTTATGGCGAGATATATCCGCGGAATGGCTACTCGAGAAGATACGCTAATTTGTAAAAGTTTGCCAACTGGAACAACTGCGTAAGAAATTTTTAATTTGATAAATTCATATTTCAAAAAGCAAGATATATATGGGGATTTATGTCATCAAGCACGTGCCGATGGAGCCGAGGCAATGCTCGGTAAATTGAACGGCGTAGTCGCACGCGTGAAACAAAAAAATTTTCAGACGAGAAGTACTCATTGGTACTAATTGTCGTCTTCGTCGACGGGCTTTGGCAGTGACGAAAATGCCAGAAGAGCTAAAAGACGTACTTAATGATTGCGTTAAAATTATAAATTTTATCAAATCAAGACCATCAAATTCGAGAGTTTTCAATTTATTGCGTGAAAATATGGGAAGTTTATATAAAACACTACTGTCGCGCGCAGACGTCCGTTGGTTAACTCGTGGAAAAGTGTTAGCAAGGTTTTGCCAATTAAAAGATTAAATAAGAATTTTCTTATCCGAACCTGCGCCTCAATTATAACAAAAATTAAATGATGCAGTTTGGATTCAGAAAATGGTATATCTAGCAGATATTTTTACCTATTTAAACGAGCTCAACGCGTGGCTCCGAGGAACAAATATCAATATTTTCAGGGTACAAAGTAAAATCGACGCTACTCTTTTAAAATTGAAATTTTGGGTAGTTTGAATGCTTTCCTAATTTGCACAATATTTTAGTAGACGGTAACGCTAATCTCGATAAAAATGTAAAAAATAATTTGGTCCAACATTTATAAGATCTGCAAAAAAACTTTTGCCAATGCTTTCTTGTTCAAAAAGAAAAATTATCTCGAATTGAAAATCCTTTTCGAGACTGCCACACCTCCGAACTCCATATGAAAGAAAGAGAAGGACAAATTGATACGTCGACCGACACTCGATTGAAACTAAAATTTAATCGAATTGATATTATGCATTTTTGGATCGACATTAGGAACGAATATCCTGAAATTGCCAAAAGAGCCGCGAAACATTTAATGTCATTTGTATCGACCTATATATGTAAAAAGTCTTTCTCTTTGTATGCAGCCACAAAAACAAAACACAGAAACTGATTAAATGCCGAAGATGACGTTAGGTTGCGGATTTCGACAATTATTCCCGATGTAAAAATGCTTTGCGATAAAAAATAACCGCAGTCGAGTCATTAAAAGAATTTTCTTTTCATTAATTTGTTATAATATAAAATATTGTTAAGCAAGAAATGAGAAAATTATCATCCAGGCATTAAACAACTTTAAAAATTTATTAAGTGGTTTTATTTACTGATTCTGGATTCTAGAAATAATATAAAGTCCTTCCAACTTATACATTGTACATAAATATACATATTCTACACTGCTGGCCATTAAAATTGCAACACCAGGACCATATGAAAGGAAGAAGAGGTTGGGATATGCGAATGATTAGTATTTCAGGGCATTTAGACAATGCAGGAGGGACAAACGACATCTGAAGCACTGCATAAAAGAAAAGTTGTGCAGTGGATTTCTCATTCGAAAATTGCTTTGTAAGGTTGGGGTTTCAATAGAATATTGTGTTATGCCTCGAATAAGAAGAAGAAATGCTTACCAGCAAGTGTAGGAATTTGATAGAGGCAAGATCGTTGCCTATCAAGAGTGTGGATTATTGTTCCATGATATTGCCACTCTCACTGGTCGAAATCCAACCACTGTCATGCGAATATGGAATCGATGGGTTGCTGAGGGTCTTACTGAATGGCATGCAGGATCTCAATGCCCTCCCATGACTAACGCCCGAGAGGACAGACATATTGTGAGGTTGGCCATGCAAAACTGTATAACCACATCACAGACCATTAGTCAGGAAATGAGCTTGTTTCAGCACGTCCAGTATCTGCTCGTACGGTGCGATGATGTTTGTATAGGGTTTCTCAAACGGGATTCCGAGATCCCGGTTGTTTTTTTAACCCGAGAAATATCCCGGGAAATTTTTCTTATCCCGGGAAATCCCGCAAATTTCTTAAAAATTCACTTTTTTTCTTATTTTGTGTTAAGGTTGAGGAATTTTGCAAATAGAAAGCATAATTAACTCATTCACTGTCAGAATACATTTGTATTTATTAATTTTAAACCTACCTATTAGTTTTTTTTAAATTTTTGCTCGTTATAGCATGTCACAAATGGTCAATAATCAATATATAGCTTATTTGTGGCAGGACTATAAAAATTCTTTACTTGTCGGAACCTGTAATATCTGGAATAATTGTGCTTACGCTGTCTTGAGTTTTAACCATGCCC